ACTTAGTAGTAAATGTTTCAGATGTCATTTTTCGAACTGAAGGGACGGCTTGCATCAATTTTTACAACTAAAACATAATCTCAAAATGACATCTGAAACATTTACTACTAAGTTTCTATCTAATAGCGGATATTTTACGAAATATGGTTCAAATTTATTTGGTTTTGCAGGAACACTCGGTTCTAAACAAGCTAAACAAGTATTAGCCGATGTATATAAAGTAGATTTGGTTATTATTCCTAATTCATGTCAAAAACAATATCTTGCATTGCCTGATATTGTAGCAATTAATGACATCGATTGGTTGAATGAAATTTCTTGCTCTGCAATTAATGAATCGAGTGAACAAAGAGGAATTCTTATCATTTGCGAAACAATCCAAGATTTGTAATACCATAGCAGAAAAGCTTAAACAAAAGTATCGTTCGAGTGCGATTAAACTCTACACAATGAATAATATGAATCAAGAGAAGAATATAGAAATAATAAATCCTAGAGAAATAATTATAGCTACTAATCTTGCTGGACGAGGTACAGATATAAAAACTGATGAGATCGAAAAATATGGAGGTCTTCATGTTATTGTTACATTTATGCCATCTAACAAACAGAAAATTACACAATTAAGAGACAAGATTGAAGCGAATATGTTAAGCGACTTTGAAAAACATGAATTAAAGGTAATTACTTTAAAAGATGAGCTTTTAACCAAATTTTGTTCTTTATTAAAACAAATACGTAAAAGAATAAAAACAATAATAGTTTCGTGGGTGTGGGTGTGGGTGTGCGGGTGTGGGTGTCAATATTAAAATTCTCTTATACCCAAACCCACACCCACACCCTAATCAGACTCTCAGAAAAATATTTCAAATTTTATAATATTAATATATTGCTGAATATCACATCTTTGATAATATATATGACTCATAATTTAATCTTAGATTTAATTTTCAGAGATTTTCAAATAGAAAAATAATGTAAAATATCTTGATTATATAATTCAAATATTTCTCTTACGTTTGATACAAAAGAAATTGATATTTAAACGATTCGTGATTAATTTATTTTCCTAGAAAACAAAATTTTTCAATACTCTTATTTCATAAAAATAGAAAACTCTTTGGCAAAAATATAAGGGTGCGTGTGGGTGTAGATTGCTTTATTTTAATACCACACCCTCAAGATATTAACATACGTTTATTGAACATTTGACATTTGGAATATGGTTTGTTCCTCGCTAATGCTACAAGTCACCTTTCCTTCATAGTTAACTAACATTTGTCTCTATTTTGAGATTTAACTGACGGCGAGAGGTAGAAGTGCTAAGATCACACATCACGAAACTAAACTCAACACTCATTCTCTTCGAATTCAAGTATTCATTTTAGTCTCGTTTCTTTTCACTTTTATGTTTTTTTTTATCTTCTATCAACATTGTAAAATAAAAAATATGAAGTTTCTATTAAGGTTTTCTCTATTCCATTTTTTTTTATTGTTTGCTAAAATGAAACAAAAGAAAGAAAGTTTCAAGGGGGACTCGAACATACTCAGGAAGAATAAGATAAAAGCTCTAGTATGAAGTGTGAATGAAGATAAAAGACTGT